TGATGGCTAATAGAACAATTATGGTAGCTAACAGCGCAGTTAGCGCACATTTTTGTGACATTCAAATTGTGTTAATAAAAGCGCAACTAAATCATAAACAAAATAAATCACTAAGTCGACAACAACGGCATGAAAACCTTTCAAAAACTTCAAAAATAAAGTTAAAAAAAAAAAAAAAAACAAAAAAAAGAGGAAAAAATATTACTTTATGTCAATTGGCTAAAAATAGCCAAAAACTAACGAGCAATAAAAAATGCCGTTTGGCCAGGCTCTAAAAATACCAATGAGACTGAGAGAGGGGCAGAGGTACAGTAAAGCCTGCTGCAGTCGCAAACTGTTGTTAATACAATAATGAAACGCGCTCTGTTATAATATTTACAGCGCTTTGCATTAACTAACGAGCGCAGCGAGGCAACAGCGAACCGGTTGCAACAGGCAGCGGCAGCGGCAGCGGCAGCAGTTGCCAACAGGTGTGCATTAGGAGTTTAGCTAGCGAGCTGGGGCAGTTGCACATTGGACTGTGGGGGAGCTTATCAAAATGCTGGCAACAAGGCGCAGCCTCAACTCAACTCAACTTTCACTCACCCGCCGCTGCTGCTGCTGCTGCTGCTGCTGCCCACACGCTAATTGCGGCAAACAAACGCACGAAAGGAACGCAATGTGGACCACCAACATGCAACGTGCAACATGCCACTCACTCACTTAAGCTATAAGCAACAAGCAAAAAGAAGCAACAGCAGCAGCAGCAGCAGCAGCATAAAGAAATAGAGTTTCGCTCGGCACGGCCCATAAACAAATAAACACTTGACTTGATTGTGGCCATGGCCAGCAGTTAGTTGCCGCAGTTGGTGTTGCTGCCGCTGCTGTGGCATTGTCATTGGAGACGCGACTTGCCCAAATCAAATGAAGTGTAATTTATGCAAAATGTGGATCAGCCTTTCTGTGCCCAGTAGCTGGCGGCGGAGGCCCACGCCACATCATTCATGCCACAAACGTCACAGCACATAGCAATTATGTGGCACAGCTCAAGTGCGGCAGTTGCCGTTGCCGTTGCCGTTGCCGTTGCTGGCGTGTTGCAATAATTTCAACGTCGCCACAAATCTGCCAACATAATTTTGTTATTTCACTGCCACTTTGTTTGACGTGCAAATGTTTGCCTTGGCTGCAGTCGCTGGCAACAGGAGCTGCAGCACATCCTGCTTGCGCCCAGATGATTTTTCAATTTGTGCAGCCTAAGACAATCAGCAACCGCAGCGGCAGCAGCAGCGGCAGCGGCAGACTCTCTCAGACTCTTAACTCCCTCGTGGGGCCTGCTGCGGTCATAAGTAACTTTAAATTATGATGAAAGTAATTTTCTGCTTCAGTAGCTGGGCCGCGGCTGTTGCTTGATTTACGCGCCAACAGCAGCAGCAGCAGCAGCAGCAGCAGCAGCAGCAGCAGCAGCAGCAGCAGCAGCAGCAATGGCTGGCGCAGCGGCAGCTGCAGCGGGAGGAGGCGTTGCCCGTTGCGCACTTTTGAATTGTGGCCACACTCTGCTATTGTCCGTTGAGCAGATTTTTGTTGTTTCTTTTTGTCGAGCTGCCGTTCAATAGCTTTGCCAAGTGCAGGCACCACAATTTCTTATGTCAGCCACAGCAACAGCCAACAGCCAACAAGAGCGAAAGACTGCAAAAAGCAGACAAGTGTAAATTAAGTAATTGCCTGGCAGTAGCTGCTACCGTTGTCATTAGGACAGACTTCAGTCAAAAGCCGATATATAAAGACGGCAAGCATCAGCTGAGGCCCCAGCCAGGGCTTCGAATAGCCGTGAACTCTGTGCTTAACCTGCCAAACTGACGCTCATAAATATGAAACGGCGTGAGAGAGGGAGAGACAAAGACATAGAGCGGCTTTGACAGGTTTACGATAAAGTTATACCGTAAGCCGATACAGCGGAAATAGAGAAAGGACTTGGGCTGGGGAGGGCTACGATACAAAGTGAAACGATCTATGGATCGATCGATGCGATCAAGTTATATCGTATGCCGATATATTGTAAGCAATGAAAAGGCTTAGACAGAGACTGGTTACGATAAAAACAGAAACGATAGTCTATGGATTACGATCAAGTTATATCGTAAATGGAGTAAAGGCTATGAAGATGGGCACTTAACAAAATGAAACTAAGTCTATAGATTGCGATAAACTTATATCGTATGCATTTACGATATTCCTACGATACGATATGCCTTTTACGATATACTGTTTATCAGTTACGATATTATAAAAACTGCAAAAAAGTTCACTACGATACGTTATAAAGTATACGATATAATATGTATCACTTACGATATTATATGACTTCTTTTACATGATTTATAAAGCGATACGGTATAATCTAAAAGAGTTAATCCATGTAATAAATACGGTACGAAATACGATATTGAAGAATCTGCTGAAGAATATGCCTGGATATGTTATGAACTGTGTATATTTTAAAGATACGATACGATGTTAGATACGATCAAATTGTCTGAATATCTGAATCCAGTGTACTTTTCATTCCGCTCCCCTCTCTGCCACCATCGCCACTCGTAATCACTGACAGCTGTTCCGTAAGCCCTTCTCATCGTATTCCATTATATGACTTACAGTTAAGTTGGCGCTGAATCAGTGATGATGCATCCAAGCTGACTGAGCCATCCAAAAGATATTAAAGTGTGATTACAAATCACGAGAAGCTGTTCTTCGGCTGCCAGTGTGCACTGTACTCATTTGCGAATGAGTGAATGTCAATAGATTTTGCATAGTGATTCAATAGTTAACTCATTTATCGAATACCAACAGACATCCCCCTTCAAAAAAAAAAAAAAAAACGGAAATTGCAAAGCAATTGAAATCGTTTGCAAATTACTGAAAAAGGTCTTTGGGGTATTTTTTTCGTTAAGGGGAGAGGGGCAGGGGTTAGTGCGACGCCCCTTGCTCGCGGTCAAAAAGCGTTTTATGCAACGTAATAGCCCAAACACAATTAACAGTTATTCATAATCATTTCGAATGCAAAATCGAGATATGCAAATGAACCGCAAGCCAAAGCCAAAGCCAAAGCCGAAGCCGAAGTCGAATTCGAAGTCGAGTTGCTGCCACTCGCACTGCAGCAGCCCCATGGAAATTAAGATCAATTTTCAGGCAAGCAAATCAATAAAATAACTGCAGCAGCAGCAGCAACAACAACAGCCCAATAGACACTGAACATTTCAATTGCTGACCAATGCAGCAGCAGCTGTTGCTGTTGTTGCTGCAGGGACAAAAACCAACTCGAATATCATTTTGCAGAGCATGTTACCTCGCTGGATACCCTGTAACAGGCTGAAGTAGTTCGGGTGGGTATTCACAAGAGTCTATAGATCATATATATAATCAATATGTGTATACTTATGGAGCTCTAATTGATATGATTGCTTTACAAATCGATAATTATCGATTCGAGACTCTAGCTTTATCTATGAGTTCACCTGCTTGAGTGTTACGCTCTTTATATTCATACACAGATATATATGCACTAGATACAGTAATTTAATTTTTATATTGAACCGATAACTATCGATTATCAACTGTAGCTTTATGTTTTAGGTAAGCTGCTTGACTGCTTACCTCTCTCACTCTCTTTATAAATATATGTATACTAGATACAGAAATCTAATTGATATATTGGTTTTCCAATCGATAAATATCGATTACCCACTCAAGCTTAAGCTATGAAGTAAGCTTCTTCTGACTGCTTAGCTATCTATGCATAAATAATGTATATAAATAAATATAATGGAATGTATATATTGCATCGATAGCTTTCGATAACTATCGATTCTCGATTTTAGCTTTATATCTTAAGCAAGCTGCTTGTCTGTTTAGCTCTTTATTTGTATAACTTATATACATATTTATAAATATATTTCGAAATCTATTTGTATGCATTTTGAATCGATAACTATCGATAACTTGCTTGACTGCTTGCTTCTGTGATTCAGCTTCAGTTTCAAAACTGCACACACTAATAAGCAACTATAAATCACAAGCTTTCGATAGCTCTAAGCCAAATCGATAAATATCGTTGCAACAACCCTACTCATTGACTTATTACGCTTACAATATTCCTTGAGTAGGAAGTCGCATGGACTCTCTGCTAGTCTCTGCTAGTTGCCAACAATTTAAAAGCAATTTGAATTTCGGGGCGGGTGGGAGCGAGGGTACGGATCGTTGGTTGGTCAATTTTCATTGATTTGGGCGAACGCTCGTTGAATTTGAATTTTTTGAGAGTCTCCGCTGCAAAATCGTGTGTGTCAATTCTTTTGGTGTCAGATTTCAATTTCGTTTGTTCGGTTTTCATTGCGTATTGTTGCTGTAAGGCAGCAGCAACAGCAACAGCAGCAGCAACAAGCATTGGCGGCATTTTTACAAAAGCTGCCGCCGTTGCAAGTTTATTAATTCATTTCGCAGCAACAGCCACAGCAGCAACTGTTTTGAGTCAGCAGCAGCAGCAGCAACAGCAACAACAACAGCAAATTGTCATCCCCCGCGGCTCGTTTTCCATGAGAAATTTGCATTTTCCATGTGATGTTGTTGCTGGCTCCACACCTTTGGCGGCTGTTGCTGCTGTTGCTGTTGCTGCTGCTGCTGCTGCTGCTGCATTTGGCCATTGTGTTGATTTATGCGCACATTTTGTGGTCATTTCTCTATGGCCAGTCGTCAGCAGCAGCAGCAACAACGACAGCAACAACAGGCCACAAAATGTGACAGCCTTTAGCCAAAATCAGCCAACTATACGTATATATATATATCTATATATATATATATGCATCTCTCTATATATGTCATGTATCTGTATCTATATGTATCTGTATCTTTATAACTGTGTGAACTTTTTACAAATTGTTTTAATTTGGCTTTGGTTATTCGTTCCGCTGTTGTTGTTGTTGCTGTTGCTGTTAACCTGAATGTCTATTTAAGGCATTTGTGTTTTTTACCTGTTTTGCATTTAAAGAGTGCCAAAAGAGCTCAGCTTTCCAACTCACCTGCAAAGGAGAAGAAGGAAAATTAGATACGATATTCAAAAATTTTAAAGAAAATACAATAAAAATGTATTAAAATTGATTTATTTATGTTTTTTTTTTTCGATAATCAGCAATCGATAACATTTGCCTTAATCACAGAGAAAAAGGCAGCGACTTGGCCACAATGCGAGCGAGCCCGAGCCGAAATGCCAAGGCAAAGTTATGGTTTTCATTAGGCCCGGCCTATAGATAGAGCTGGCCAGGCAAATACAGTTAACACACACCCGCTAATCTGAGCACATAACTTAGCAGCGCCAAATGCGGAAGCGGCAGCAGCAGCAGCCGCAGCTCAGAAATGTTTGCCACTTTCTAAAACTAAGGAAAACGCCTCAGGGAGCTCAGCTGAGCCGAGTTGGCCTGGAGCGAGGGGGCGGAGTCTGGAGCTGGCCTTATCAGGTTGCCCCGAAAATAGCTGCGCCGCGTAATCGAAATTGCGCATCGTTGCGGCAGCAGCGTGCCGCATGTGGCAGCAATTGGAATTCGATTAAGGCGGCCAAGGCAAAATGCAATTAGAGGGTGGATGCGTTATTAATGTGGAGCGATGCACTCAACGCTGCAGATATTGATATATATTTATAAATATATATATATATATATATATTTAAGTGTGTGTGTGTGCAGTCAAGTCTGGCATGCGGAAGCGAAAAGCGCCAAAACGTCAGCAAAATGTGCGAAAAATGGCTAAAAAAAAGAGCTAAAAACTAACAACAACAACTGCAGCAAAAACTGAAAAAAAAGACGCCAACACGCGCCAACGAGGCACTTGATAGTCATGGGCAAGGAACGCTCAGCCAGCGGAGCGCAGGGCGTGACAAAGGGGGTAGGGCGGGGGGAGGGGGCTCTATATTAGATTGCCAAGTGGGAGGTGTTCACGCACACACACACACACACACATGTGCACACACAGAGGCATAGCTAACAAGCTCTGGGCCTGTATTAAATGAAAACGCATTAAAGCTCAGCCAACGCTCAGTGGGCGTTGCTGCAGCAGCGACAGGCAGCGGCAGCGGAGGCTGCCAACCTGAGCAGCTGGCTCAGGCTGGCAGTGGGTGTGCCAAGCAGCGCCATTGACGCGAACGCCACGAACTGAAGACGTTAACATTGATCGAGCTGCCAACTTGCCAAACAATGGTTAAACAGTCGAAACACTTTACAAAATATTAACAACTTTATGAAAATTTAAATTGAAACTAAATTAAATTAGAATATTGGAAAATAAAGAAAAGATAAGTAAAAAAAAAATATATATATATATATATGCATGCATTGGGATTGGAAACAAAAGTTTATTAAATAAAAATAAATAAATATCAAAATAACAAAAAATTAATTTAATAAAAACTAAAAATACAAAATGGAAAAATAAAAAAAAAATAAAAATAAAAAAGAATTTGATGAAAAAAATAAATTAAAAACATTTAAAAGTAAAATTAAAATTAAAAAATTATTGTTAAAAAAAAATAAATAAAACAATAAACATTTTTAAAAAATATTAAATATGAAAATGAAAATAAAAAATATAAACAAAAAATGGTATTTAATAAGACTTAAAAAAATTTAAAAAAAAAAACATGTATAAAAGTCCCAAATTTAAATTTATAAAATATGTCAAATAAATAGCAAAAGTCTATCATAAAAATTTTATAATATATTCAACATCAAAAATGTAACACTAAATTTAAGGAAAAGTAAATTAAATTTAAAAAATAATTCCGTTTATTAAAAAATATATATAAAGAAACCTAAAATTGTTGTTAACAAATAATTTTAAATAAATATAAATCACAATCATAATACTAACTGTTCTTAAGGACATAAAAAAAAATCTAAAATTCAAAACTAATTTAAAAAAAGAATTAAAATTTATAGCACAAATATTACGTAGCTGAAAAATTAGCGTCATATTTGCCTGTGGCGAGACCTGCTTTGTTGGCGACAAGTTGGCAGCCCTGCGCTTCGTTTCGCTGGCGGCTGCCGCTGCTCTGTTGCCTGTTCAGCGATGATTGTCAATTTGCTCGTCGAATGCTGGCGACGGGTTTATCGCTTATTGTCATCTTGGGGCCGGGGCTAATTAGAAAAACACGTGAGCACGCACAGCGGCTGCGTAGTTGTCATAATTAGAGAATAGAGTGAGAGGCAGACAGACAGACAGACAGTGAGAGCGAGAGAAATAGAGAGAGAGAGAGAGGGCGAGATGGAGAGAGGCTTTCCGATCTGTTTGGTGTTTGAATATTGGCTGCGATAGCGACTGGGCGACAATTTGCTAGATTGATTAGGCGTCCAGCCTATGCCGTAGCTGGTGCAGATTCGCTGATGCAGTGTAACCGGTTCAAGCAATTAATGCCTTAAATGCGGCTGCCTGGTGTGGCATTGTTAATTAATAAAGCGGCGCGAATGAGCTGCAACAACAACAACAACCACAACGACAACGAAAATTGAAGAGTTGCTCTCGGGCTCTCGAGCTCTCGCACTGGCTCTGGCAGCTAATTGTTAATGCAAAAATCGTTGCAAGTTAGAAAATCAATTTTTACTTTAATGATCTGGCAGCCAGGTGCTTATTAAAGCGCATCCATCGTCAACAACATCTTACTGGTTGCAAGTTTGTTGTTGCTGTTGCAACTAGCCGACTATAATTAAGCGTCAGAAATGGCTGCAAGGCTCGCACTCTCCCTCTCTCTCGCTCACTCTCTGCACCGTTAGCGGGTGTAAAAACAGCAAATGAGTTGCCATAAATTATTATGATTGCAACTGCAACAGCAACTGCAACAGCAGCGGCGGCAGCAGCAACTGCCTAATGACATATTGCCAGCCGATTGACAAATGCAGCTGAACGAAAAGATACGCAAAGATCCGAAACCCGCAATTCGATTGCAATTGCAATTGCCATTGCAATTGCCTGCTTTATTATTATAGGCCATGGCCAAGGCGCTGGCTAAGCTAAACACTGCCTGCCAAAAGCAGCTGCACCAGTCGCAAGACCAGACTTCGCACAAGCACAAATTAACTATTTCGTAAACTAGTTTTATACATTTTTATGAATTTATGAAATTACTAAAAATATAAAGACATTTCAATTACTTTTCTATAGATATATATATATATATATATATATATACAGCTATATATATATCTTTTAAGTAACAAATATGTGATTCTGATTAGAACCTTTGACGTCTAATAAAGTTGCTAGACTTTTAGCTTAGTTGTCATTCTATAGCTTCAATTGGCTTTATCTTAAGTATCAAAGCGAATCGGTCACGCTGTAGCTATAGCTTACATATGCAAAGCAAATCCCTACTTATATATCTCTAACTATAGCTAGAGGTACACTTTTCTGCATAACTTAGCCTGGAAGATAAGTTTCGATATGTTTCATAAAGCCCAGCTCCAAGTCCCCAGTTGCGGCAAGCTAAGCTCTCTCAGAGCTGATAAAAATCTCTAGTATAAAGAAAAGTGTCTGAGACTTGGAAACACTTCTTGAGCTCTACATTTGAGCTATATATAATAATTTCTATATATTTAATTTCAGTTTCAGCTCTTCAGAACTTTAGCTCCAAACAGAAAAGAAAAAAAAAAACAAAAACAAAAATTAGTCTAAATACGAAAGCTCTTAAAATACACTTGAATATTCCAATTGACATTTACTAAGACAGAACTTATAGTGATATATGTGTATAGTCTATTTATATAACATCTATACAGCATATATCTTTAACAATATCTAAAACTAGCTAGCATTGAGAGAGCGCACATGTTTTAGAAGTGTATTAAAAACTGATTGATAAAGCTAAAATAATATAATAAAATAAAAATATATAAATATAATAATATAAATATATATATACTTAAATTATAAAAAATATATATATATATATATATATATATATATATATATATATATTTGATATAATATATTTTCATATTTATTTATATTTTTAAATTTATAAACAAAGACACAAAAAAGCTTAACAAAATCTGTCTAAAAAATGTTTTTTTTTTTTTGGTTTCCTGCTTAATTGCAGCTATTCAGCTATTTGCTGCACATGCACGCCCCCTTGGCCAGGCAGCCAGGCTGAGTCGCAGTCCGCCTCAAAGAAACACAAAAAAAAAAACAAAAGTCCAAAAAACCAACAGACCAGCTCTATGCAGGCTAAGTGTGTGTGTGTGTGTGTTTGGTGGGCGTGGCCAGTTGGCAGTTGTTGCTGTTGCTGTGGCGGCGCCTGCCAGTGCCGGGCCAAAGCACTATAATTAAGCCATGCCGAGGGCAGCATTCGAATGGTGCCACAAGAGCAACAGTCGAACTGCATGAAAGGGTATGCGAGCTGCGTGTGTGTGTGTGTGTGTGTGTGTGTGTGTGTGTATGGAGCATTCGTTGACCGCAAAGCGACAACTTCCTTCTAACCCAATTTGCGACTTTTCTAAACTTTATGCAAAATACTAAACAATATCCGCAACGCGTTGTCAACAAATGACATGAAATTGGCAACAGCAGCAGCAGCAGCAGCAGCAGCAGCAGCAGCAACAGCAACAACCACATTTCCGTTTCAAGCAATTTCCGCGACGCTCTCTTGACTTGGCTGGCATCGAGTGTCATTTGATTGGTAAGCAATTTACGCAGGCGACAGCAGCAGCGGCAGCAGCAGCGGCAGCAGCAGCCAACAACAACGACCCTGACCCGCAGCAACATGTTGCATGTTGTGTGCCCCGCCAGCAGCAACATGGCTCAAGCAGTGAATTTTATTTTTGCTGCTGCTGCTACTGCAGCTGTTGTTGTTGTTGTTTTTTCTTTTTGCATTTCTTTTTTGATCTTGCAGGCATCAAATGCTGATGTTGCTGCTGTTGCTGCCGTTGCTGCTGGCAGCATCCGTTTGCCGATTTGTATATCTAATTTTCATAATCTCTAAAGCATGTTAGCCGCATTCGATATGCCAGCAGCAGCAACATGTTGCAGGAAATCAAGC